CTACACTTGTGTGCTGTTTATGGAAGAATAAGCAGTCATCAGTGTATACTTGTATTTAAATAGCACTAGAGATGCCATCTCTCCCAGTAAAGTTTCATTACTAAACTCATATTTAGTTTACATCACAGGTGTTTTATGTGTACAAATGGAAAACAATGGCTTAACTATGACAATGCTTAAAAAGCTAGCGATAGAACTTTCTTATTTTGATGGTCTACAAATGTTCCTAGTTAATGTTGAAATGAACATTATAAAAGAACTTACAGTGAATGCTACTGAGAAATACATGTATCCTCTCTAAACAGACGGAATTTTTGAACAATATAGAGCATTTTGCTACTACTAATTACTGTACAGGCAGCCTCAAAGTTAGTTTCAAACAAATTGGAATAGCAAGATTTTTTAACCCACTGAATCTTCTAGAATTATCTTATTGAAATATCAGAAATAGCTAATAAAATAAAAATGGAAGTTTTTTTTTTATTCTAGCAGGACACAGTAAGAAAGTTATACATTAAATAATTTATACTTAATTATCAGCATTTGATATTTCCCCATTACTAAGAAGAATGATATTAATTGCCCTATTAAATTTTTGTCCATTTTTAAAGAATTATTTTTCTATTCTAGCCTTTTCACACTAGAATATTCTTTGGGCCAGAATACATTAAAGGTAGTTTTTACTACCAAATGGCTCTACTTAAATATTGACTTAAACTATTCAACGGTTTCCCTTTCTCAGACTTAATTTTAACCCTTTCTCATGACAAGATTCACATCTCTGAGAAGAAAATGATATGTGGCTCAACTCAACTTCATTAAAGCTGAAAATAATTTTTGTGTCTTTCCTGTGAATATCTTAGGAAAACTCTATCCTACTATACCCTAGAACAGAGCCAGTTAAGAAATGCTGGGGTTACCATTCTGAATTGAGAGCAAACTTGTTCCAGGCTGGTATTGCTCTCTATTCCATTATGAGCAGTATTATGGTTATGCAGGAGAACTGATACTCGCAGAGTGCTTAAGGACCACAAACTCCTGCCATTCAAATGTGGCTGTCCCTTGGCAATCACACCTTGTCCCTTCTCCCATTCAAAGACTCATCTTTACTCTCTTAAATCAAGACTGTCAGTCATTTTGACCACTTCAATAATATGCTATAACAGTGGATGAGTCACACAGCATAGACCTTAAGACGATATGTTGCCTTTTCCCACAACCACTTGGAACACAACTTTGAAGTTAACATACAAAAAAGCCAATATAACTTAACAGTCTGTGAGTGAAGTCATCTGGAAACATCCAATCAAGTTAACCCTCCAAAGGAATGAAGTTGCAAGAATCCACAAAATTGTGATCCTTCATGTTCAGGAATTCTACCTGTTTTGGAGGTAGAGAGAATCATGGCTTTGTAGAGTCCACTTGGGTCTTCTTCAGGTTTTACAGAAATAACAGGAATTCGAGGAGAAATATCTCATTGCTAAAAACTATCTACAGTTCCTTCTTTCCACTGGCACTACTGTGTGACCTTTTCATGAACAAAAATATGGCAGAGAGGCTCAGAAAATGATGCTCTCTTCAGGGCACAGTCTTAGGAGAAGGGGAATCATTTGTGGGGGCACTAAAGAAAGAAAGCCCCATAAAGTAGAGGAGACAGCCTGTCTCTTAGGAGTTTACAGGCTTCTGTTGTGATAAGGACTTTGCCTTTTTATCTGTGGTTCTATTATGCAGTAGATTATTAGGTGAATGTCTAAGAATTCTGTAATATTTGTTGCTAAGTGAAAATGTATAACTTTTCCATGCTATGTCTTCTTCTGCTTGTGGGTCTAGGAAGAAATATTCGTGTCTTATGGGGACATTATCTATTACAGGCCCTCAAACTTCATTAATACTTGCCCTAACAATTGGTACTAAATGAAATGTAGAAATTAATAGTCCTCAGAATGGCCAGAAATTCTATCCCTCTACTAACAGAATGTAATATAAAGCAATGACAAATGTCAGTGAAGTAAAGTGAAGACCATATTGTACAGACAACTAAGTTTTGCTGGCATCTGGAAGGTTATGAATTACTGTAGTAATAGAAGCCAAAGTGGCATATGGTATGTGGCATATTTTTAAATGTTACACATTTTAATTTTGGGCAAAAGTTCATTGCAGTGCCTATTTCTTCCTTTCCCCCTTTAATACAGATATTCCTCAGTAGCTGAAGAATGTCAATTTAAAAATCTCAGTGTAATGTTACATTAATTGGCATCTTTTACAAAAATTATCTCAATTTAGTCATAGAACTGGAATATGCATTGAAGTGTTACAAAATTGTAGAAGGCTGTGTGTGTGTGCTTGTTATATAAATGTGTATACCACACATATAGGCATACATACACATATGTGTGGATGTCAGTGTGTGATATTCAAGTAATAGAAGTTTTTCATTTAGCTTTGAAGGCACAACAAACCATAGCAAAACATCATGCCTAAAGCAGAAACTATTATTTCTGATGCTTCTACAGGTCACCTGGATGTTTCATCTGGTCTGTGCCAGTTCGTCTAATATTTATGATTAGCAAGAATCAGCTGGTGTTGGATGACTTAGGATGGTCTCATTCAGCATCTGCTGTTGGCAGACTAGTTAGTCCAGGGGGTCTCAGCTGTGGTGTCTCACTTTTGCTCCATGAAATCTCAATCTTATTCTACAGTAGTCTGTCCCTGACTTCATCACTTGATATTCACTGGATCCCAAGGAACAGCCAGAAAGTTCAAGCCCCAAGGCTTAAGGAGATCTCAGACCTCTGATATCACCATATTAGTCACCGTCCTTTCTGCCGAGAGAATCCCATGGCCAAGGCTGGATTTAAGGGACGCAGAAAGACTCTGGAGGGATGGACCTGCTGAATATTGTGACTATTGTTGCAGTCTACTACAGCAGGGAACTTTGAGAGCTTATTCATTCCTTTGTAGATTCATAATGTTAAACCTACTTCCCTTGCATATGAATATAGACACAGCATGGTATGCACATATTTTTATTTGTGGGTTTAGTTTGGAAAGGGATTATCCCTTCTTTGTTTTCTTGGCACCATATTTAGTTATAGTAGCATATCAAAGAAAAACTTGTGCAAGTGTGTGTGTGTGTGTGTGTGTGTGTGTGTGATTTACATCAACTATATCATGTTATTTGTTCTCAAATATATCTACAAGTCCAGAGCTCTTAATACAAACATCCTCCTCCTGTTTATCATTAACATAATTGACCTCATTCACTATTACCTGTCATGGGTACTTTGTGTTTTCTGTACAAAGCATTCTGTTAAGAGCTTTTATGTGTGCTATAAAATCCAAAACCTACCACGACTCCATGAGTTAAGAATCTTTAAAGCATATTTTCACAGCATTAATAGTATAGCTTGAAATCTAAATCAGTTCTCTCAATATCTGGAGCTGTGCTGGTTGTGAAAAATAACAAGTAGAAAGCAAAATTTAATAAATTATTCCCTCCAAAATGTCATTACCAGATGGGTTAGTGATAGGCAGTGCACCGGCAGCTTTACAATCGCCAAAGAAGTCCTCTCCGATTGAGTGGGGAGTTGTGAAGAAATACAGATGAACTGTTGAGAGTGAAGAAATAGTTCTCTGTAAAATCAGACCAAGACTTATAGTCAGTACGGTGAGAGGGTGAAATCCTTACAGTAAACCAATGATTTGGTTGTGTTGATCTTGAATACTGCCTGTCAAGCTCACGGTACTGACAATCATGTTCTCCCAGCCTTTTCTGAGTTTCTTTCTTTGTTTGCGGGCAGGGACTTTTAAAAATGAATTTAATGGACTCTTATACCTACTAGTTAGTTCACAACAAATTAATGTAATTTGGGGGGTTTTCTTTGTTTGTTTTTTGGTTTTGGGTTTTGATTTTTTTTTTTTTTTTTTTTTTTTTTTTTTTTTTTTTTT